ATTTAATATAAAGCGTAAAAGAGAGAATTTTAATCATTTGTTATTTTGAAATATACTGGCTCGTTTATAATTTTCATTAAAAGTCATTCAAATTCTCATAATAAAAATTTTATAATACTTCTAAACCTATATCAAAGTTGATATTTATAACTAATGAAAATTTCAATTAATTGAAACTTAGTTATAATAAATTTTTTAGAATTATAATGTTTGGATCCAATAACCAAAATATTATAAATTCATTCAAAAACATTGTAACTGTGAATTTTTTATTAGTTTTAATAAAATAAAGTAAATACGATAAGATTGTCCTAAATTACATGCCGAAATTTAATGCTACGAAAAAGGAGTATTCCATCCTTTATTTTAAGACGTTTAAAAATATTATTTTTTTCATATAAATTAATTAAGAACTTAAATAAAATATTTTATAAAATTTTAATATTCCATAATAGGATTACAATTAATATTTAGAAAATTTTAAGTTAATTAAAAACGAATTGCAATGTTTATAGTTGAATAATAAAAAAATTTAACCTTGTTCAGAAACAATGTATCCAATGAACCATTTTTAAAAGTAATGTTCTTCAAACACGCAACCTGAAAAGATTTTAGATTTTTCCGGAGAAACGGCTTTTATATAACCCGTAAAAGGTCGTTAAAGGAAGTGCCGGAGCCGAAAGCAGACGTCAGATTTGATCCAACGGTTCAAATGTCGATCGAACTGAATGTACCATGCCACTTGATTAGACACGTGGATCGTTTGTATGAACCCTTCCAAGTAATATTTGCTTTTATTGTTGCACACCGTAGGCGGAGCCGAAGTCGCGATCCCTCGCGGCCTTTTCCCTTTCGACGCTCTCTCGCCCGCCGTAATGGCGTCTCTCGGCGATTCAGGTGCGTCCATCCCCAAATCTCTGCTCTTCTTCTTCCTTTTCTTCGTTTTCGGGTTCTCGTCATTCAAGATTGGTGTCATTCTTCCCGTGTATCGCCGCTGCTAATTCGTGGATCTTTGATTTCTCCTCCGCATAGTTCGGGAGAATCTACAGATTACCTTCAAATCTGAACGTTTTTCGGGTTTATCTTACTCGATCAGTCTTCTTCCCTCTTCCTCTTCTTCGTCCTCCTCTCTTCTTTTTCTTCTACTTCCACCAGCTGGTTATGGCCGATTTCCACATAAAAGACTGAAAAGTTAGCCGATGTTTTCCCTGATTGGTATCAGGGAAAACAATTCCTACTTTGGAAAGGCGTCTGATTAGTTTCTAGCAGTTGGGCACATCAATGACCCAGGAAAGTTGATAGTTTTCTTGTCTTTGACAGTTCACTAGGAATGGCATCAAGGAAAGTCCTAATACCATAATAGTACTCGAAATGAGTTGTTGACCAACCCCGTCGTTTAATTCCATTTAGCTACAGACAAGGATGTTTCGTGTATAATTACCAAAGATTTAAGATTTCTTGAGCTTGTGACTATGAATCTGGCCTTCAATCTTACCCTTTGCAGTGAGCAATGTGCTTAGCTTCTTGAACCAGGGGTATATGATGGTTCATCTCAAATTTATGTTAACAGGCATCATATTGTCGATCTATTAATTCTGTCGTAGTAAGAGACACATTAAACAACACTACCAAGTTCATTTCACATATTCCCATAACTCAGTGTTTGGAACATGTAGGATGACATTCCTTCAGTTTTCAGTCACCTGTGGTATACATTTTTTTACTCTAAAGTAAAACTCTACAATAAGGTTTATTATTTTCACTTTGTGTAGTTGTGATGTGATGGTGAGAACATAGTTTCTTGCATATGGCTTTCTAACAGTCATTGCACCCTTTAACGTTGATAACTAAATTCTAGTGTTGTTGCAAGTTCTACTTCTTGATCAAACTCGAAACTATTGTTTTGAATAGTTGTTGTATTTTCTTTTCCTGAATGCTAATTTTGAATTGATGAAAGTTTTCCATTTCAAACTTCATGATTTCATAAACATCTAATCCTAACCCAGTTCCCATTGCAGGGAGCAAAATTGGTGCTTCAGATGATGTTGTTCAAACTGAACAGGCTCCTGATCCACAGGAGCAATGTGAAGATAGTGGTAAGTGTATAAGTAGATTTATTTGAAAGATGTTCATCAAATTTTGTGCAGTACTAGTACAATTTGATATTATTATTCCAGTTGACTTGTGATGCTATAAAAAACTTCCTTAGAACCTGAGTAGTGTACTTGGTCTAGTATCACCATTGTTTTTACAGTTCATTTCATATTTCCTAATTTATTATTTTTTTATTTTCCACAGAATCGAAAGGTGCGCTTCCCCAAATTTCCATTTTCATGTTTTTTGAGTCAGATCACTCTTTAACAAACAATATATTCATTTGACTTCTATGTTCACTTCAACTTTTTCTCCATCAGTAGCTGGGAACTTGACAAATTCTGTTTTTGATTTAGAAAGGAAAGCTCGGGTTGAGGAAGTTTGGAAGAAAATGAACAGTGTATTGCCCAATAAGGTGCTCAAACCTATAGTGAACAAGCCCGATTCAACTGGGAGTACAAAAACAGGGAAAACAGTTCCTGTAAGGACACTACTCTTTAAGATATAGCTATAAGTAGATACATCGTATTGTTTCTTGTCTGACCTCAAAGTTCCCCTTGTTTCATGGGTGGTTCATAGGATTGGATGGTTGCTCTTGGCATTGTGCCAGCAAAGACACCAGCCACTAATGATACACTAGGAAAGAGGCCAGCAAGCTCGCAAAATGGAACTAATGAGGAAGCTAAGAGGCTTGCAGCAGCTGCTCTTTCAGCTGTCAAAGATGTTGCATCTGCTACCACAGCTGCTGGAAGTGGAAAAGTTGAAGTATGCTCGGATCCCCTCAAACAGTCAATAGTTTATTTTCTTCTCTTTGTGCATTTTCTCCCCTTTCTTAAGGTCATCTATTATCTAAAAGTATATAGGATATCCAATGTAGCAAAGTTATGAAATTATTGTTGGATAGTGCATAAGTTGTTAGGAACAGATAGTTTGTAGTGGTTAGATTTTCTTGCTAATGGCAACATGGTGCTTGGTGGATGATGCTTTATCCGCTTGCTTTGTTGAATTGTTTTAGACAGTACTCTTTATCTATGAATAAAATGCTTGTGTTTTTTCATGAGCTTCTTAATATGCATTCTCCTACTTTAATGGTTTGAGTTGATAATTTAATTTAATTTAATTTAATTATTGTGTGCACATCACCCATATATTTTCTTGATGAAGAGTGTGCATGAACTAGGAATAGTGGTAGTAAGGTATGTTGTTAGGCAAGTCTCTGTTACCTAAAACTGCATAAATTAGAAATCAGCTACATCTTTAGGCTGTTGATATCGATTCATAAAATTATTTGAAATTTTCCTGGGAGCTTCCCAAAGTTGAAACTGTCTTAGATTCCTCCATTTTTGTTCGAGTCTATCCTAAATCCAACTAAAGGTATGCAGAACATGGTTTAAATGGATCGTGTGGGCCCAAATAGCCCCCCCAAAGGAAACCACCTGCATTCTTACCACACATTAAGAATGAGAACGAGAATGGTGCTGGAGAATTTCACCCTACCCAAATCTGAATCCAACTAATTACCTGGTACTCGAAGTTGAATCCAGAACTGACTTGGGTACCTAATTTTCTATCCGAACTTGTCCCAGAACTGATCAAAGGCCCAAAACAGTTGGAAGTGGGTTGAGTAGATACAGGTGTCCAAAAAAGAATGATCTGCTGCCTCACTATCTATTTGTGTGTGTCTGCTTGTCTGACATGTCATCATTAAAATTCTTAAGATGGGATATTTGCTTTTTGATATTGTTCATTGATCAGCGAGGAGATAATTGATCTTTATCACCTTTGACCCATCAGAAGTGTAGTGGCATATGGAGTCATATTAAGAAAAATATGGGCTCTGTTACACAATTTTCAACTGATGATGAAATGCTTGACCTGTATTGTCACTTTCAAAACAGTAATGGCATTGAACTCTAATTGTGGCCCTTGATCATATTATACATTAGATTGAACTAATTTGAAGCTTAGACATTCAGGAAATAACATTTATGGCTTGGTATCTGTTCGGGTGTTGTTATCATGATTCTTTACATAGTCTTGATTCAATGCCCAAAGAATCACAGATATCCCTATTTGATCATGTCATTATGAGATTTTACAAACCCTTTTCTTTTCCCACAGATAACTGAGGTCCGGGACTTTGCTGGTTTAGAAATTGAGGTTAAGAAACTCGTTGATCCGGACTCAAAAGAGGCAGCTGAGAAAGCCAAAGTGCCAGGTGCTCCTCCCACTGCCCTTGACACCATTCTGGAGCAGATAAAGAAAAAACCAAAGCTCAGTGTCCTTGACAAGACCAAAAAAGATTGGAGTTCGTTCAAGGATGAGCACAAGGGTATGGAAGAGGAGCTGGATTCCTACAAGAAGAGCTCAAATCAGTATTTGGACAAGGTTTCCTTCTTGCAGAGAACAGATCACAGAGAGTTTGAACATGAGAGGGATGCTCGTCTTGCATTGCAGGCAAAGAGGAGACCAGATATGAGAGAGGATGACTTGTAGTCATACATCAACTGTAGTTAACAGCTCAACTTATTTATTACTAGTCATGACAACCAAAAGAAATGATTGCAATTGTCCAACATGTATATTCCCCTGGTCAACGACTTTGTTTTGTTCATGGGCTTGTTGGTCACTGAACGAGGAGAATAGCACCCAAAATATGCTGGCTTCTTTTTACAGTGCTGCAGAATTTGCTATTATAATGTTGAAGGAACACCTAACGTTGATTTTCCTGTACATTTATTGCTGACCTTTTTGTGAAAAAAGACATTGTTTTGATCGTTGATATTGTGGCTTGGTTTTCATAGATAATTTTCACTTTCTGAGTTATAGTCTTCTAAGTTGCATATATAATTCATGTCTTGCAGTCAGGAGTTTCATGGATTTGAGACTGCCATTAGGTGTCGAGCTGACAGTTGGTTCAACTTATTATAGCACTGGGTATTTATGAGACTGGCTTAACTTCATACAGCTTGGAGTAAAACACAGGGTTTTTGTAGGAACTTAATATTTATCTGGTTCGATTGGGTGCATTCAAAACTGCTGCTTGGTTTCCCCCAACTGATCCATCCTTGTGCAGGACACAGGCGAGTGATGCCAATCTGATGCTGCCGCTTCAGTGTCCACAGGTAAGAATTCCTTGAGTGATATTTCTCCAGCATTTCATCTGCTTTCCAACATAAGATGCTTCAGGAGGCAGATTTTGATTGGTGTCAGTGTTGAGTTGCAATCCAGATGACGGCATGCATCATATCATCAATGGATGCAGCAGTGCATAAATGGCTGAATCGTTGTGTTTGATTTCATCTGAGTCCTATAACTGAAACACTACTAAACCATTCTCCTTGAAGGATTGGCACTAAGCCTTTCACAAAGTTCGATTTTAAATGTGTATAGGTGATCTAAATCTGCTTACGGTATAATTTCTTTCAGACAGGTGAGTAGAACATTTGATCTCATATTATTTTGACTTGGCGAATTCACAGGCTGCGTTATCTGAGATCTTCTCATGAAGTATTCATGAATCGAACCCAAACTTTCGGGTATGGATCTTATCCATTTTGTATCCGTTAAGCTTATTGGATCCTGATGTCGGGTCAGATCCCGAGGCATACAAGGGAATTGAATCACGTGCGTAACACGTGCTTTGCAGCCTATGAGATGACCTCTCATCCTTACCCTGCCACCTGATCTCTCAATGTTCAACCGACAACCATCGCCATCGCCTCCCCTTTCCTTCGCGAGAGAAACTACGCTTACGGTTTGAACACTAGATCCAACTCCTTTAGTAGATATCTCATGCTTTTGTCGTCATAAATTTCGAATTTTTCGCTGGTTCATTGGCATTGTAGTATGATGATCGATTAGGGCCTATCTTTGGTTGGATTTTTTATGATAAAAAATGAATGTTTTTTTGCCTTATTATCACATCTCATATTTATAAAAAAAATATATATATTATTATAATATTAATAATTTATAGAAATTTTTTTCTTTTATTTTTGAATTCAAATGCTTATCTTTACAAAAATAAATATTTTTTAGTAAAACAAATTATATCTTCTTAATAGGGTCATGAAAAAATTTTCTACCTAAGCCTCATATATATTATAAAGTAGTAGATTATTTTTAAAATAAATATAAAATAAAATAATATCAATAACCACATAGTAGAAATCTTTGAAAAATTATATCATAAAGAAGTATATCATACCCGATAATGCACTCTCTTAATAGTGAATGGAGAGACATACTTTACAAGATATATTCCCCCCAACAATGGATAGAGAGAACCCATATTCCCTCACTCGTCTATGTTAGGATATGTTCCTTCCAAAAATGAATAAAGGAACCATTTAACTATCACGTTTGACGGCTTGCTAATCCCAAAAGGAATTATCCTACTTACCCTTACCAGGGATACATAGTCAAGAAATGCATACATCCAAGAAATAGTATAATCAAATATTATAAAGAATCATGCTTGATATATGATATGCTAGACTATGTCTATTGATAGCTTTGTACTGTGATGGGCTCATGGCTCCTTTCATAGGTTGCACTTCTAATGTGAAATACTAGTATAATTACATATACTACATGCTAACAATCACATCATATCATAAACTTTAAAAAAATTAAAAAATTAATAATCATTTCCAAATGACATCACACATTCGAATAAAACATAAAGATATAAGGCATCAATCTTTCAATAGTTCTCAATTAACTTAAACCTTAATTGATTTGAACCAAACTCAATTCATAACATAACCAACTTCAAATCCTTAAAGAACTAGCTTAGACTAACCCTAGATTGATCTAATTTAGATTTGATTAATTTTAATTAGGTTAAGTATATTTGAACTAGTTAAGTTGGTTTGGAATCACCCTAAACTGGCCTGAACCGATCAAACTTATCTGATTCAATCAATTAATAAGTTTAAACTAATTTAAAGGGAGGAGAAATTGGACTATGTCGTATAGTTTTAGCCTAGGCTGAACCCACCCACTTAAGTCTTGGATAAGTCACATGTATCGCACATGACTGTTCTAAGTAATAGGTTGGGTTGAGGTACACTGGGTTGAATGGAGGAGCAACGATGTACCTAGCACTAGTCGCATAGCTAAGCGGGTCATGGGCTAGGTTGAGCCTTACCATTAAACTAAGCTACGTTTGGCTCATGCGTAAGATTGTGCTTGACCACATAGATTAGGTTATACTTAGCTACATGGGTTAGACAATGCTTGGCCACATTGGTTAGATTATACCTTGCCATATAGGCTAGCTCTTACTTGGCCTCATAGGATAGGTCATACATGGTCATATGAGCTAGGTCATGCTTAGTCACATTGGTTAAGTCATACATGGTCACATAGGTTGGGTCATACTTGGCCATATGGACTAAGTTATACCTAGCCACATGTGTTGGGTTGTACCTAACCACAAGAGCTAGGTCAACCTTGTCTAATAGATCAAGCCGACTCAAGTCAAACCCCAATTATATTCTCTTATAAAATTAGATTTAATATTTTAAATTACTAAAAAGTAACTTAAATTCATGAATTAAATAATTTAAATTCATGATTTTAAATTTAAAACTAATTAAATCATAGAAATTCACATATAATTCTTGAAACATAGATATATCTAATTAAATAAATTAAAATTATTATATTAAACTAAAAAGAAAAATTTTAATAATTAAATCAATCTTAAAATTCACTTAAGCTTAAGAGACCATTATAAATCAAATAATCATTCTAACATCATAAATCAATTATCATTACTTAATAATTATAAAATTTTAAAATTAAAATATTATTATGCATCATAAAATTATTATAATCCTAATATTAAAGATTTTTAAATATAAATCAAAGTTAGTTTGAAAAGAATAGAAGATCCTACCTTTGCTCATGAAATTCTCTCCTCAATCCTATCACTATCAAACTTGGCGAGGATTGAGAGAAGAGAAATACTCTATATATAAGAGAAGATGAGCTCTTCTCAAAAGATAAATAATAATTTAATTTAATTTTTAATTTACTTTTATTTTGCTTCACACACAAAGATAGAAATGGTTCACACACGAAAATGAGATTTGAACTATTTACTTTCCAAAAATCACATCATTTACTAGAAAATAAATAAATTAATAATTTAATTGATTGATGAGATTTCTAACTTATCCATATGAATAAGAAAATTAATTTTAATTATTTTCTCAATCATACAATGAAGTTAATAATTTAAACAAAAGTAACACATTATTTATGATAATTTATTTATGTTAAGGGAGAAAAGTTATTGGTGATTATATTTTTTGCATCAAAGTTGACATAGTATTTGGACATGGCGATGAGCTCGAGTAGGAAAAAGCTACCCATGAATGGATAGAGTTAGAGGACTCGTTATCACATGGAGCCACCATTAGGCTATGCTTCATATGCACCATATTGGGATTTGATCTAGATTATGCTGAATTTTGATGAGAACATAAAACCCTTGAGTGGAAAAAATTATAATACTTCAATTAGTCTTGCTAGGATTAAAATTGGCACTAAGAGGGGGGGAGGGGTGAATTAGTACTTTCGTAAAACTTACGTTGATTTAGAAACTTCATTCAATAAAGGCATATCAGAAACTAAAAAACATACGAAAGTGTAATGAGCGTAGTGAGAGTAGGAAATCAGTTTAGAATGTAAATGAAAAACATAAAGTAAATACAAATCATATGTCCATTTCCGATTCCTCTTCACTCGAGGCCATCAGCTTTCACTACTGATCTTCTTTCAACGAGCGAAGATCAACTACCCTTACAACTCTTTTTCCTTTTCACAAGCTTAGGAGAGAACATTTACACCTTTCCCTTTTACACTTAGACCTCATTTCTTGTTAGGATCGAGAGCAC